GGTTTCATTTCACTTTAGATGCTGCTCTAATCACATCTATCACTCACCTGCAGTACACAACAAATAGGAAACTTGTCAAATCAATATATTATCCCTAATTTCTCTCACTGATTTGTAAATAGCGTATGCAGATAATCCATTTGCAAAGAAAAAAAAGTAACTTCTTGTATTTATGCTACGTTCCAGCTTAAATGGAGTCCAATTATCTGGAAAAACAATAAAATGATATGCCCAATTTGCTAATTTAATTTTGAAACTCAGTAGGAATAACTGAGCTCATTAACCCTGAAAAACAAGTATATATCTCTCTCAATAAATGAGAAGAGCGTTACCTTCTGGTGTGACAGTATGTTCACGTCGTCTGCGCATTCGAGTTCCAAGAAGAATGTCCCTTATCCGAAACAATTCAGTTGCAACATTGCCAATTTCCATCCTTTCTCTTGGCAGTTTTACAGAACAAGCGACTCCCACCTTGATAATTGAAACCAAACACTCCAGAATTTTTTCAGACCCTATATTGTTCCTCGTACGAGAGGCGTTGACAATTGTTTCCTCAGCTTCTCTCAGAAGTATTGGGTCCAACACATCTGCCATGTAGTTTGGCAAAGCCATTTTAGCGAAGCTGTGAAGGCTGAGCCCATCTTTGAACATGCTATCTGTTGGCCTCTTTCCTGTAAACATCTCCAACAACAGGACTCCGTAGCTGTACACATCCCCATAAGTCGACACCTTACTTCCCATACCATATTCTACAGTTAAATACATACCTTATAATTACAATTTTCTATGCTGGAAGAGTAGAATATTAACAAAGAAAATAGATCTTTCGAAATATGAAATTCTACGTCTGCTGCAAATAGACGAAATGGCAATGCTGCTTTCATGTTTTACTAGCTGGGTTTTTTATGAAGGTGAAACATGAAGAAAAATGCCTATAGTATGCTAGGGCACCTATGATTGTATAGGGGGTTCATTATACTGCAAACTTGTTTCTTCATCAATGAGATGCTAATGGTAAGAACAAATTAAAAATACTCAAATGAAAAGAAAGAAAAAAAAATAGTGATAATAAAAAAGGAAAAATGTATGTATTGTTACCTGGGGCTGCATAGCCGACGGTGCCTTTCAAGCCAACAGAGCTGGTCTGATTGGAGGAAATTTGAGGTTGCAAGAACCTTGCTAATCCAAAATCTCCAACACGAGCAGTCATATCACCATCCAGAAGAACATTGCTAGGCTTCAAATCACAGTGAACGACTGGAATTTCACACTGATGCTGCAAATAATCCAATGTACTAGCCACATCAATTGCAATGTTTAACCTCTGAATGAGATTTAACCTTCTAGGTTCGTGTGCCGAGTCTTCTATATGAACTGGATGCAACCACTCTTCTAGACTTCCATTGACCATGAACTCATAAACCAAAGCTTTAAAATCTTGACCTTCAAAATCAATGCTAGAGCATGCAGTTAAAACTTTAACAAGATTTCGGTGCCTGATGTTTATCAAGGCTGCACATTCTGCCATAAAGCTTTCGGAAGCTCCTTTACGTAGCAAGTTGAATACTTTCACGGCAACAACTGCTCCATCTGATGCGAGAATTCCTTTGTACACCGACCCAAAACTACCTGCACCAATTAAATTGGAAGAAGAAAAACCTCCAGTTGCTTGAAAGAGTTCTTCATACGCTACTCTCCGAAGCGAGCTGTCCCATGAAGCTCCAAGAAAAGGCATATTTTTTCTTTTTCTCCAGCAAAAGAAAAGTAGAGAAGACATCATCAAGATAACACCGAGAAAAATGCTTGGAATTGCAATTGATAATATCTTCTTGGAAGAAGATTTCTGCTCCGACGACTCATTGGATGTGCATCTGGACAGATTCAGCTGAGGTATTCCTCCACAAAGATCCTTGTTTCCCAAGATTGAAAATCCACTTGCATTAGCAAAGACTCCTTCTACCGGCACCTCACCTTCAAGGTCATTCAATGAAACATCCAAAGTTGTCAGCAACTTAAATTCTCTCAAGAATTTGGGAATATTGCCAGTTAAGTTGTTGTGAGAGATATTAAAATCTTGAAGTGCTCTCAAGGAACTCAAAGACTCAGGAACGAGCCCATGGAAAGAGTTATCACCCAAATACAAATATTCCAAACTCACACAGCTTCCAAGAGATCTAGGAATTTCACCAGATAACCTGTTACGAGAAACATCAAGATATCCAAGATTCACCAACTTATCCATTTCTGAGGGAAGGGAACCTGTCAACTGATTTTCAGATAGGTCTAAAGCCTTTGATAAGGATGAAATACTTCTCACTTCTTTTGGTATGGAACCGCTTAAATTATTCTGATAGAGGACTAAGGTCAACAAGTTCCGGCAATTTCCAAGACTTGATGGAATGCTTCCATGCAAATTATTTGCTGACAAATCAACTTCAATCAATGAAGTAATGTTGCCCAGAGAAAATGGGATGCTACCTGAGATTTTATTTTCAAAAAGAGACAGAATATGTAAATTTCGAAGTTTACCAATAGAACTTGGTATAATGCCACTCACCTGATTCGTCTCCCAACCCCAAATCTGGAGGTTGACGAGATTTCCAATATTGGTTGGAATGCTTCCTCGTATTTGATTTCTTCTGAATGCCATGTGCCTGAGTTTTAATGAGAAGTTACCAATTATTTCAGGCAGCACCCCTCCTAAATTGTTCTCGTTTATCCCCAATACTTGCAAACTAGTTTTGTTCGCCAGGGGATAGAGAAAACTCAGGTCGTCATCCTCGTTGTTTCCAAGATCGTTTTCTTGAATTACCAGCCTCTGTAGATTCGGCATGTGTTCTAGATGTGGCACTTTTCCATTGAAGTTGTTGCTTGAAAGATCAAGATCAGTAATTTTTGAGGCATTGGAGAGTGATGCTGGAATGAGTCCACTGAATTGATTGGTGTGAATGTTAAGGATTTCGAGATTCGGAAGAGTTAGGCCTAAATCAAACCGAAGACTTCCATGAAGTTGGTTAACTGGCACAGATAGTGAAGTAAGAGAAGAGAGATTGTATATGGAGGGTGGAATTGTTCCGCTCAGATTATTTAGGCCCAAAGAGAGTTTTTTTAATCTCTTCAGTTGCCCAAAGCTGTTTGGAACACCTCCTTGCAAATTATTCTCCCACCCAAAAATTTCCTCAATAGATGACAAATTTCCCAAAAAGGGTGGTATATCACCAGCTAGATTATTTCTTTCAAAAGAAAAAAACTTCATCTTTGATAATGTTCCAAGTTCTCCAGGAAGTCTTCCAGTAAGTTTGTTGCCTGCTAACTTAAGGGTTATTAGATTAGAGCACCATGAGATGTTGACAGGGATTTCTCCGGTGAATGTGTTGTTCCAAAGGAGCAATTGCTGTAGCCGAAATGAATGACCTATTTCTTGAGGGATGCTGTGGCTGAAGCTGTTGTTGTCCAGGTTTAGTATCCTGAGAAAACTCAAGTTGCCTATATGAGGAGATAAGCTGCCAACAAGTTGGCTAGAGCTTAAGTCAAGCTCTACCAATCTCCGATGTCGGCGACCGCACGTAACACCCAACCACTCACAAAAGTGCAAGGATTCATTCCATGAGCTCAGTCTACCAAGGGGATCAGCTTGAATTTGATCCCTGAAAGCTAGCAATGACAACCTATCTGTCTCATTTCCTATAGGTAATGAGGAGGAAAAAGAAGGAAGGATTATTTGGAAGATAAGTGGCCACAACATGAATGAAACCATGCTTGGCATCTCCATTTTTATGTGACTGTCTTAGAGTTTTGAGTACTGAATGTATTTAATTCAGCAGTCTGTGCTACTGATACAAATATATAGAAAAAGCTTATGGAATGGATTAATGCTGAGATGAGTTGACATGAATGCAGTATTCAAATTGATACACTTATATCATACTTGTCAGGCGGGGCAAACTAGGAGGAGCCCCAGATTTTTAAAACTTGTCAATATAACCCTTATTTTCTTAAAAAAATTCATATGTCCTCATCACTTTTTCTTGTTAGCATTTCGATAAATGATTCCCTCTCTTTCAAAATCACCAATCTCCCTCATTTCTTTTCTTTTAGGATCAAATGCTCATTTATTTTTTTATTGTTTCTGATTGGAAATATTGTTGTTTTTAATTAGATAGCCAAAATGGACATATTCCTTATGTTTGTGTGTAAATATATGGAAAAATAGATTTGTTACCAGCATTGAAGCAATGTTTGCAGATTAGAACAGTCACACTAACCTCCCTATTTATTTTTCCATTGGAACCACCAAAATACAACAAATTATATATATATATATATATATATATATAGAACCACTCAAATATAGGGCCTCAATTTTTTAAATTTCTAACTTTTATAATAAAGTAATCACTCGATGAAGCATTTCAAGTTTGATGAAAATCTGTTCTATAATTAAGATGGTAGATAATTTTGAATTTTTTGTTTCCATAATATGGGAAAAAAATATTTGAATTTAAGGGAATTTTTTTTCAATATTACTCTAGTCAGACTACAACACAAAATTTGTCATACAAAATACATTTAAAATATATATTTCACAATTTTTTAATTAAAAAAAAATCTTCAAATCCATATAAAAACAGATAAAAATAGTAATTAAAAAATGAAAAATAACAATAATATTAATAAAAGCTAGAAGGCAAGGGATTATACGAGCCTAGGTTTAGCACCAAGCCCAGACGTCTGAGATAAATAATAGATGATAATATGCAAAATATTTTCATTAAGGAGCACTTCCTTTAACCCGACGACACGTTGTTTGACTGATGAAATTAAGAAATTCAAAGTGTTTGAAGGACAAAATAGACATAAAAAACTATTTGATGGGAAAATTGATACCACCCAAATAATTGAGGGGTGTATTTGAAGTTTGCTCCTTGAATTTTAACGCAGCTCCATGGAGTCATGGACCCGCTAACCTTTCTTTCTTTGTCAACACGTGAAATGCATGTATGATCACGCGGAATTCTTCTCCCATTTTATCGTCTACCGCGTCGTGTTGTAAACGCTACGTCGTCGACCAATCCTTTCCCAACGCAAATCAGGCAGTGGCATTAGAAAGTGTAATTTTGTATGAATTGTTTAATTATGAATATTGAAAGTCATGAGCAAGTAAATGCAAATTAGGTCCTCTAAAGTTCGATTGGTATCAGAAAGTAATTGATACCATACATACATACATATATATATATATATATATATATATATATATATAGATTGTTGAGGAATGAAGACGTGGGTTTTTCACCGTGCAAAAACCGCAAGAAATATCCGCATATAATCATTACGTACTTGAAGGAAAATTCGTGTATTATGTTGGGGTGATTGATACCTTTGGATGTCTTTACCTCTATTTGAAAATTATGTGGTAAAATAATAAATTTGAAAGATCCAAATAGTTTATATTATTATGCATTTTATCACACATAAGTATATATACTCTTCAATTCCAAGATTTTTTTTGTCCTTAATTCTCGAAAAAAAAAACAAAAAGACAAAGAACAATACTGGTAACCATTTTTACCAGCTACGGTAGGAAAAAACTCCACCGTAATATTGGTTAAAAATATAATTAAATAAAAAAACACCATCATAACAAATTTATAGACATTGCAATTAAACAATTTTAGTGTCGAAATTAGAAGAAATGTGAATTTGAAAATTTTAAATCTAAAAAGTATAAAATTGAGTTTTATTATAAAATAGTTGTTTAGGAATGATTTTTAAAGTTTGATTCGAGTTTAAAAGGTTTCAGGGAATATGAGGATAAGAGTAGGAAAAAACAAAAAAAAATAAAATAAAATAAAATAAAAAACCGAAAATTATAAGTTTTTGGTGATGGTCGATTGTGTTTGCTGAAATCTGACAAAAATTCCAGATCCCGACACATTTTGCAGAATCCAAGCTAGCAACAGTCAAGATACAGTTTGGTCTCAATTTCAAGTCCTTTATTTTCCCATACTATTCATTTTGGTTCTCGAACTTTCAATTCCATTAACCCCCAATCCAAATTGTTACCTTCCAAAGTAAAATTCATTGCCATGTGTGTTATGTTTATATGCTTAGTTTTTATGATATATGTTGATTTGAAGAGATATTTACGAAGTTTGGATGATTGTTTAAGATGAATCAAGAGCTGTTTTGATTATCTTGTAGACTAAGGGACTGTTTCGATTTTATTTGTGATTCGAAAATTATTTCGATTTGATTTTTAACCGCTTTTATGATATATTAGATATTTTTATTTTAAATCATATCCTCCTTTTTAATAATTTTCTGATGTCATTTTCAATTTATTTTATATTTGTTTCTATTTATAATTTTTTTTAAAAAAATAAGTTTTTTTAACGATTTTAATTTTGAACTGTGATTGTTTTATGTAACCTAGTATATTTCAAGGATATGTACATGTTTCTTTTTTACATTAGTTTAATTTTATATTGTTATTTTAAAATTTAATCATGGCTTTTATCATAATTTTTTTCACAAAACGTTGTTGTAATTCTATTACAAATCACATTATTTTCTTGATTGTCAAATTTAATTTGAAAATCCATATTGATTTGATTGAAATAATATAATGCGTTATTTAATATCTTTTATATATTTATAAGATGGATATCATAAAATTAAAGGAGGAAAAAAATTGAAAATGGAAGGCATTTTGTACCATGCAACGTCTGCATGGACTAAACAGACACGAAACACCTCTCTTTCAAAATTTCTCACTTCCATTAAAAGGGAGCCACTCAAAGTGCATTCAACTAAAGTGAATTTTCTTTTGGCTCATAAAAACATTATCGCATCCTCCCGCAATCATAGTGGGAAATTAAAGTCAATACAACGCATAAATAAATGTATCTATTAACTTGCATGAAAGTAGTTGAAAGTTACTACATTAACAGCTCAGAAGACCTTGAAAAGTTGACCAAAAGACAACTCCTGTAACTTGTAAGAGTAAAGAAAAGAAAAAATGAAAAACGAAAAACAGAAAGGACAAGAGACAGCAAGTGTGGATGCAGTCATTGCCTGCCTGTCTTGATTGACACATGAATTGATGAACTAATTATCGAGACAAGCAGAAGAGAAAAACACAATCATAGTTTTTATTTGTTTGTTTGTTTTTCTCATTAATAAATCAATAAACTTAAAGAAGAAATGGGATGGTTACCCTAGTTTTCGCGTTATTTGCTGTAATCCACTTCATTAGTTCTCAGCAGCTCACAGCTATATTTATTTTCAGACACGAACTGTAGGTATCTTTCCCTTCTTTTTATTTTATGGTAGTGCTAAAATCTTGTTATTCTCACCATTTTTTTCTATATAATTATCAATACATCCTTCATCAATTACAAATAATTATTATATAACATAACAAATATTAGTAGAAGATATATTGATAATTTTTTTTTTAAAAAAGTAGTGAGAATATCAATTTTATTGGTAAAATTAATAGTACTCTTATTTTATTATGTACTTATAATTGTTGTGTTTCTATATATTTTTTTTTCACTTAGTTCTATGTTTCTGTCTAGATGTCGTCTTCTTTATAGAACATAAAAAGAACAGTAAATAGATAGATACGTGAATTGAAGAAAGAAAGAAAGATTGATTACAAGGGAGATGGGGTGAATCAGTGTTTTACAATTGTCTTCCTCTTCTTTCCCCTGATGAGTCTCCTTGCTTCTCCTTCTTTTGCTCATTACAGGACTAAATCTTTGCAACTAAATGATTTTTTTTCCATTACATTCAAAGTGGATATTTTAACTTTGTCAGGCTCAATTGAACTGTTATTTTCTTGATCAGTTTGGTAGGGTGGGGGTTGGGTTGGGTTGGGAGGGTGGGGGGGGGGGGGGGGGGGGTGGGGGGAAGAGAGGAGGCTGGGAATGACGTATTTCCTATGAGGATGGATGCTATAAAGCCTAGATGCCTATAGAGCTGGACTCTGGGATGGGTGGGCCACAGTTTTTATACTCAATTTAACAGAATTATCTAGCGCGTTAAAAATGGTAGTCGGGTATATTCAGTCTAACCAAGGTAAATTTTCCATATTCGCCCAACTTTTGGCCTAATTGAATTTTTCCTTTGGATTTGTTTTCAAAAGGCCAACTTTGCAGTCGAAACAAACGGCCTAGTTCTTGAGGAAAACCATGGCTCAATTGGCAGATGTCAAGCCCTAACTCTCTTAGCGCTCACAAAAGTGCAAGGAGTGTATGCCAAAAGTAATCTAGAAGTGTCAAACTGATGTGGATTTTGAAATTTCAGCCATCACTATCGCATTAGTATATAGGTTTTAGTGTCCATCTGTTTGGTCGTCATCATTCAAGTGAGTGTCTCGATCGACGGGCATTACATTTATTGAGCTAATAAAAAGATTAAGGAAGAAACATGTGTTACGTACAATTGATGAAAATGGTGAACAGAGTGTGAAGTTCTTAATGAAGAAGAAAGCAACAGAGAAACAAAAATAAAAATGATAGTGTTTTGTTTCAATTAGATTACACTCATAGTTTTTAGCTTTTTTAATTTTAAATCTTTATAGAAAATGAAAGATTTAACTGATTTTTATCAGATATAATTTATTCAAAATAATTATATAGATATTTATTTAAAGTTTGAATATGTTTGAACTTGTGGTTTTCCTTTGATTTCTCATTTTGAGGCAGCATGTTAGTTTGTTTATAAATAATCCGAATCACTTGGTCCGAAAAATAAACAGAGAAAAGAACCAAATCCATTTAAGTTTTTGAAAAAACATACAAATAGGATAGAAATACATAAATAAGGCAAGAGATTTATCAAGAACCAAATGCATTTTCAATGCCATTCTATTTCTGCAAACATTTAAATACTGGCTACTCCACTCCATTTTCACCTTCAACTTCAATTTGCCACTCTGATCCTCAGGCACCTACATCACATAATAGATTGTGAAGCTATAGTCAGTTTAATGGATCATCCTACGTCTTGTCGAAATATTTGACGTAAGGATAGAGCTTTACCTTCTGCCGAGACAATGATTTCTCATTGTCCATTCCTACTAGCTCCAAGTAGAATGCCCCTAATTCGATGCAGTTCAATCACAACATTGCTACTGTCCATTCTCTCTCTTGGCAATTCTACAGAGCAAGCAACTCCTACTTTGATAATTGAAATTAAAGACTCCAGCGCTTTGTCTTTTCCATTACGGTTCCTCCTTATAGAGGCATCAGCACTTGATTCCTCAACTTCTGGCAGAAGTATCGGATCGACAAATTCGACCACACTGCCAGCCAATGACATTTTAGCATAACTATGAAGGTTCAGCCGATCTTTAAACATGCCGTCTGTAGGTCTCTTTCCTGTGAACATCTCTAACAACAGGATGCCGTAGCTGTAAACATCGCCATAAGTTGACACCTCACTTCCGATGCCATACTCTGTGATTCAAACGTATTGTTGCATATATAGTTACATGATTTTAGAAATTAGTACTAGGTGAAGCAACAGAGAAATCTTTAAATTCTAGATTCATCATCCGATGGAAATATATAATAAGGTCACTTCATAAGAAATTCGAGGGAGCTAAAATGTGCAAGGATGTATTTTTTCTGTATCATGTGGAAATATATATAGCGAAATGAAAACAAAGATTTCAATGGAAATAAATGGAGTGGGAATGAGATCATAAATTAACAAAATTAGAACCGGTAAATCATATAAGTTTCTTTCAATCTTACCTGGGGCTGCATAGCCGACGGTGCCTTTCAAGCCAAAAGAACTGGTCTGCTTGGAGGATAATTGATGGGAAGCTTCTTGCCGGAACCTTGCTAATCCAAAGTCTCCGATGTGAGCAGTCATATCACCACCTAGAAGAACATTGCTAGGCTTCAAATCACAGTGAATAACAGCTATTTCACACTGATGGTGCAAATAGTACAGTGCACTAGCCACATCAATTGCAATGTTTAACCTCTGAATCAGAGTCAACTTATTCGACTCGTGTGCCTCATCTGGTACATGTACTGGATGCAGCCACTCTTCTAGACTCCCATTGACCATAAGCTCGTACACAAGAGCTTTAAAATCATCACCTCGAAAATCAATGCTAGAACATGCTGTAATAACTTTTACAAGATTTCGGTGCCTGATGTTTATCAAGGCTGCACATTCTGCCATGAAACTTTTAAAGGCTCCTTTCTGAACCAGGTTAAAGACTTTCACTGCAACGACGGCTCCATCTGATGTGAGAATTCCTTTGTAAACAGACCCAAAACTGCCAGCACCAATTAAATTTGCTGTAGAGAACCCATTAGTTGCTTGAAGGAGGTCTTCATATGCTACTCTTGGAAACATGACATCCCATGAGGACACAGAAGCAAGCTTATTTTTTGTTTCCCTCGAGAAACAGAAAAGTAAAAAGGCAGCCATCAAGATTACTCCAACAAAGCCAGAGGGAATTGTAATTTTCAATACTAGCTTGGTGGAATATTTTGGCTCTTTGGATTTGGAAGTGCATCTGGGCAGATTCAGCTCTGGTATTCCTCCACAAAGCTTCTTGTTTCCCAAAATTGAAATTGCACTTGAATTCGTAAAGATACCATGCATAGGAACCTCACCTTGAAGGCCATTAAATGATAGATCCAATCTCTGCAACTTTAGCCCTGCCAAAAACTTGGGAATTTGGCCAGTCAAGTTGTTATAAGAGAGATTAAGATCTTGAAGTGCTCTCAAGGAACTCAAAGACTCAGGAATGGGCCCATGGAAGAAGTTCCTACCCAAATACAAGTATTCCAAACTCTCACAACTTTCAAGACTCCTGGGAATTTCACCTGATAACCTGTTGTGTGAGACATTGAGATATCCAAGATTCGCCAACTTACCTACCTCTGAGGGAAGGGAACCAGTTAACTGATTCTGAGATAGGTCTAAAGACTTTGATAAGGATGAAAGACCAATTACTTCTTTCGGTATAGGGCCACTCAGATTGTTTTGATGAAGAAGCAAGAGCAACAAGTTCCGACAATTTCCAAGAGTTGATGGGATTCTTCCCTGTAAATTGTTTTCTTGTAAATAAACACTAATCAGTGAGGAAATGTTCCCGAAGGAAGACGGAATACTTCCTGAGATTTTGTTTCCATTGAGATATAGAGCAACCAGATTTCGTAAATTACCGATGGAATTCGGGATAGCGCCAGTTAATTGATTATACTCCAATTCCAACTCTTCCAAGCTAACGAGATTACCAATATCGGTTGGAATGCTTCCACGTATTTGGTTTTTTGAGAAATCCATTTCCTTGAGATTTGTTGAGAAGTTGCTAACTATTTTTGGCAGCATTCCTCCGAAATTGTTATCATTTATAGCCAAGGTTTCCAGACTGGTCATGTTTACAAAAGAATAGAGAAAGCTTAGGTCATCATCCTCATCATTTCCAAGCTGGTTGACTTGAATTGAAAACCACCGTAGATTAGGCAGGCTTGCTAAAGTCGGCACTTTCCCAGTGAAGTTGTTGTATGAAATATCCATATCAGCAATATTCAAGGCATTGAAGAGTGTTGCTGGAATCGGTCCACTGAACTGATTGGTGTGAATCTCAAGGACTTTGAGATTTGGAAGAGTTAGGCCTAAGTTAGGAGGAAGTCTCCCATGAAGTTGGTTAAGTGGAATACATAATTTAATAAGAGAGGAGAGATTGTATATGGAGGGAGGCACGGTACCAGTCAAATTATTGAAGCCAAAAGTAAAGTCTTTCAACTGCTTCAATTGCCCAATACTACTAGGAATACCTCCTTGCAAATAATTCCTTGTCCCGTAAATTTGCTCAATAGATGACAGATTTCCTAAAGAAGGTGGTATCTCGCCAGTTAGATCGTTAAATCCAAAAACAAGTACCTTTAGCTTCGATAACGCTCCAAGTTCTGCAGGAAGTCTGCCAGTCAATTTGTTTCTTTGTAGATTAATAAACAGGAGATCAGAGCAACGTGAGACGTTGACAGGGATTTCACCACTGAATGTGTTGTTTGCTAGGTCCAACTTCTTCAGACGAGACAAGCGACCTAACTCTTGTGGGATATTATGGCCGAAGCTGTTGTTTGTGAGGCTGAGTATTCTGAGAAAACTCAGGTTGCCAATGTGAGGAGGTAGGCTGCCCACCAGCTGGGAAGAGTGTAGATCAAGCTCTACAACTCTCTGATGTCTGCGTCCGCACCTAACACCAGACCACTCGCAGAAGTGTAGGGATTCATTCCACGAGCTCAATATACGAAGGGGATCGTTATTAACGTGATCCTTAAAGGCTAACAGGGAGAATCTATCTGTCTCATTTCCTCCTCTAGTTAATGAGAAGAACAAAGAGAGTTGAATTATTTGGAAGAGAAGTGGCCACAACATAAACGAGCTCATCACTGGGCAGCTTTTTTTTTTTTTCCTGTGATCTTAAAGCTTGTCTATTGAATGTATATATACAAATGCGGACAACTACGTTGTTTTATAATGTTTATGACTACTTCAAAGTCATGAGCAAATTAATAGTAAATGGATAAGCTCATGTAGCAATGCAGTGTCTATGAAAATGAAGCGACAGCCTCTTGAAGTAGTTTTCTATGATCTGTACTTGTAAAAGCAAACAAGAAACCTTGATTTTCTAAATTTCTGCCGTCATTCAATAGAAGGGTTCAAGTACATAAGATTTTGACTTCTGATTAAGATGGTTGGCAGAATTTTCTTTTGTCTCATACAATATAAATGCATCTGAAAACAACAACATTATACATCTGAGGTTAAGAATATTTAAAGGATTCCTTTACTTCTCAAAGTTTTTACATTTGTATGTGTGTGTGAGATCTTATAGCTTATCTATTGTATATATAAATGTTTAGTAGTAATTAGATTTTTTATCAATGTTATGTTGCGGATAGGATAAAATATATTAAATTATTTAGAAAAATTATTTTAATTTGATAGTTTGTTTCATGATGTGAATGTATAAAAATATATGAAATTAAAAGTCAAAAAAATATTTTAAATTTTTTAATGTAATTTGAATATAAATGGATGAGAATTTTAAAAAAATGATAAATTAAAATAGTAAATTTTAAATAATAAAAATAATCAATAAAAAACATCAAAATAAAATGGGATCAAACTACAATACAATTAAAATTTGAAATTAAAAAAATATATATATTATATAAAAAAATTGAGGACTATATAATTTTAAATGAATTGGATGAGAAAAGAATGAATAATATTAAAATAAATGAA